ATGTTGTACCGTGACTTCACAAAAGAAACAAGCGAGCTACAAAGCAGACAAGCGTGAGTGTGTGGTTCTATCATGCACCAACTCATCTGCACTAGCAACCATCCTATAGAAAGCTTTGGCATATGCCGATGGTTCAAAGATCCAAGATAGGTGGATGGTGCCCAGCAAGCTCAACCAACATTTGATCCATCTGATCAACTTCATCAGTGCCCTCTCTATTTCCCACACCATCATATCCATCATGTGAAATCAGCCCCTCACCATGCTCAGTCCAAGTTTCATAGTCTTCCTTAAAACCATGCCTACACAAATGCATCTCTATAGTGTATCTTATATGCCTAAAGTAGTTCCGACATTGTGCACAAGGACACTTAATAGTATCATTTTCAGCTACACCAGTAATTGAAAATGCACTATTCAAGAATTCATTGGTTCCATCAATCCATTCATTTGAGGGAGCTTTGCCACGTTGCCAACCATTATACATCCATGTTCGACTTGACATATTAACTAGTTCTGCTTTCAAATATTAATATATTAGATATCACAATAAAGGAAACTCAATTATTTTTGGTGCAAGGACGACATTCCAAACTCGCATAAGTGGGCACACAAATAAAATGTAGAATAACAACATCGTCATACAACAAATAAAACTAGTGAAGAAAGAAGTGTACCTTGAGTCTCACGGTACTCAACAACTCTTCACTGTCTACCTCCTACAGAACCTTCAGTCCTTGTTTAGCCCAAAATCTTTTACTTGCAGACATCAGGGACATGAGATTAGAATTTCCAAGAAAAAAATTCATGCTATTAGTGAGGCCACTATGGCTGATATGCTGCCTATAGGTACTGAATAGGTACATGTCATGAAAATATCAATATTATATATTCTAGAGGGAAGAGGGAATACAACTGGTGTCGGAAGCAATATGCGCAGGTATCTTCAATGACTTGGGTAGTGGAAGCAATGTGGATGTCTACGTGATAACCAAGGTACATGTTTTCTGTTTTTATTTTATAGTTCTAGGGCCAAACCCTGGTCCAGATCCATTGCAAAGGAACCAAAGTAACAAGCATTTACAAAATTTTAGAGCAGAGCATCCTCATCATGTGAGGGACATAGGTTAATCTCAAATGCCACACATGCAACAAAGGGAGACCTTTTCTGTAATCTCTAGAGAAAATGATCTAGGGGTTAGTTGAATTCCCCCCCGCATCCTATTCACAGGATAACAACATCAAAGATGGGCCACAAAAAGCTACGGGGCAACCATTTAGTAAGCTATTATCAGAGAAGCACTGCACAAACATTATAGGAACACGAACCCATAATATCTTCAGCCATGAAACATATTTGGCACAGTACAGTACATCAGAATCCACAAGACGCAAAGTATTGAATGGTAAAGGCAACCATTTGGCAACCATTTGTCGAACACATATGAACACTACCAAATAATAAGATCAGATGATGCGCAACAATTTACCGGCGGATCTGTCGCAGGGAGGTCGCGTGCAGGTGTGTCGCCGGCAAATCTGGCACAAGCCTCGCCCGGCAGCGGGCCTGGGGAAGCGCACGGGAGGGGTCGTGTTGGAAGGGGCGATGTCTGTCGGCGGGTTGGGGTGGCGGCCGGCAGCGCACAGGAGGGGCCGCGCCGAGAGCGCCAGCCGCGGAGAGGTGAACCTGAGGCGGCGCCACGGGAGGGGCCGCGCCGAGAGGGCCGGCCACGAAGAGGCAGATCTAGGGCGGCGCGCCGGAGAGACGAGGTGCGTCGCGCCGGGACGTGCGCTGGACGGGAGGGAGACCAGGGGCTACTGCCGCCGGCGGGCTGGTGGCTACGGCCGTCGGTGGGCTGGAGGCAGATCTAGGCGACAGCGGACCTAGGGCAGCGAGCGGCGGCCATGGAGCTGTGGTGCCTAGCGGCGGGCGGTGAGCGGCGAATGTGCAGATGGGGGTGGTCTTGTGTGGCGAGCGGCGGACTTGGAGCTGGGAGCGGCGGACTTGGAGGCTCTGCGGAGTTCAGCCTCGGCGGCGCGGCGCGTTTGGGATAGCGTCGGTGGCGGCCGCGGGAGGATTTAGTTTTAGGGTGTTTTTGTTTTCGTTTTTTTTTCACTCTCTTTTCTATTCTATACCGCGCCACTGTGCCTCCACTGTGCCTGTGTCTTTTTTCTGTGAGTTAAAAACCCACAGAATAATTTCTATTTCTCTGTGGGTGTTCACTATTTTTCTGTGTGTATTGTCACGCACAGAAAAATAACTCAATTATTCTGTCGGTTTTCCTATATTTCTGTGGGGATTTTTTTAAACCGACAGAAAAATTACAATTTTTCTGTGTGTTTTGAGAAACACGCACAGAAAAAATCAACACGCACAGAAGTATTCGAGTTTCCAGTAGTGTATTATTGGCGGTGCGGCGGCATGGGAACGGCACAGGATTGTTGAGCTTGATGCATTGCTCCCCGACCCCGTGCAGCAGCGACGGAACGCGTACCCGAATGACTATCCATTCGATGCGATTAGATTCGCAGAGGGCACAAATACTATTTTCATCAGCATATATATCAGAGATAATAAGGGAGTCTTCAATTCGCACTAGACCTCAAGTCAAGGCAGCTGAGTAAGATAGGCAAAAGCTGGCTCTACCCTATCTTACCTTACATGAGCTTCTACACACTCAAGGTATGTACTATAGCCTTACCTTGTGCCTTTAATTTATTTAACATCCATCCACACCTTACACATACACATGCGTGAGTACGTGTTTCCATTATTGAATTACTTTTATTATATATCTCAAATATATATGTGCAAACTAATTGAGCTCACATTATGCATATGGTAGTAATACTTTCTGCCTCGTATCTTTCCAAATCTTGCTAAGGGCAAATTTTCACCTCCGTGAAGACGCAATGATTCATGGATCCATCATGGCGTACGTGCTCGTGTTGGTATCTTGATTACTCGAGATTTTAGTCTCAGAAGATGGGCAGTTAAATGAGTATACGTTTAGTGTTATATAATATATAAGTTGTCCTGTAAGAAACAGAGCTGGTCATCCTGATCGTACTCTCTCTTGTGTCTAATCAGGCAGTTTCAGATGAAACAGGTAGACATTATTTAGTACTAGTATATATATTTCTTCTAGAAATATTTTCATGATCGTACGTGGCCGAGAGGTGCTAATATTCCATGGATGCTCGTTTCACGTTTGGCAATGCCCGGCCCAGATGGAATTGAGATGGACTACTGAATCTTTTCTTACTGTTGAACATTGAATTTTTATACTAGTAGTTCCTAGTACTTCCTATTTGCAACAACGAATCTTCTCTTGTGGGAATTGGTTGAGTCAATGTTTCAAAACTGGGAACCATGTTTGCATTTGCAACACATTTTCAATATTTCAACATTTTTACCATTTTCACAATATCTATCTACTGTCTATCTACTTACTCATAGCGAATTTTGCACCATGGAATCTTGCACGTCATTCGGCCACCACGTCGCTTACAAATGCTAGCCTTCCTACCATGATCATATATGGTCCAACTGGAAAATAATGGAATGTACCATTCCAATCCAGAGTTCATCGGTTCATCCCGAGACGCAAATTAAAGATTCTCCTCCTCACCTACTCTGTCGCTCACCCAGTGCCACCACTGTTTTCTTTTTTTGCATTTTGGCCCTTTTTAAGAAAAAATATTTATATTTAGACCCCTTGGTGTCTTTTTTTTTTACCCAGGGGGTCAGCGTCATGACCGACGGTGTCGAGGTAACACGACTCGGTGCCATGAGACCGCCTGGTGACATGGTAGGGATATGACGATGACATGGCATACCTTGGCGCCATGAGAGACAGTGTCGACCTCAGCGCTGCGCGGTATGGCGCCGACTTCGGCTTGCAGCAAAGGCTGTCCGGCGTCTCACTTCACGTGTGTTTGTTCACTGCATGTCGATTTCAAAGAGACAGCAGAGCAGAGGCATCTGGTCACATTGGTAATCACCACCATATTTTCATAATGGCAAAAGGCCCACGCCATGGTTCAATACTCCTAGGTGCAGCTACACTTGAGAGAGTTTTTCGCGCTCCTAGGTGTATCTACTCCCAACGTATGGCTACATACTTATTTATTAGTTTGAGTATATTTATATACTTATTTAAGATACTTCAAATCTTACTACGTGAAATATTTCAACAAACCCACATTTTTATTGCCTAGACCTCGGCATGAGCCAATTAAACACCGAGGTATGAGGGTTAGCGCTAAATGACCTCATGCCGAGGCTTGACAAGGCCACGCCACGTTGGGGCTGATGTGGCAGGCTTGAGCGCAACTTGACATAATGCCGATGTGAAGACCTCGACGTTTTATTATTTAGGGGGTGTTTGGGATTGCTCCACAAACTCCACCGTGGAGTAGCTCCACAAAAACTGGAGTTTTTTTAGCACCTCTTTAGGTGCTCTCACAACTCACCCTTTTTCCTCGAACAGAGTGTGTGGAGCTGAAACCGTTTGGCTAAAAAACATAAAGCGGAGCTGAAAACGTGGAGCGGAGCAGTCCTAAACACCCCCTTAACACTGGGCATTAGCTCCATTTTTGAATTTTTTTTCTGAAGGATCTATTTATAAAAAGAGTTTCAAAAAGAGCTAAAATGCAAAATTTAACACCGCGTGAGTCTCATTTTTTTTTCTGAAGGATCTATCTATAAAAAGAGTTTCAAAAAGAGTTAAAATGCAAAATTTAACACCGCGTGAGTCTCAGAATGTGAACAACAGCCGTCACTGTTGGGGGCCCAATCCACCGGGTGGTCAAAAGCCTATGTAAGAAGGGTAGGGCAAAGACACCCGCTCGGCCCATTTACGGACCAAAAGCCCCGTGACCAGCGCCGCGTGCGTCGGCCGCAATAAAGTGCTAGGGTTTTCCCACGCCGCCACTCCTCCCAACCCGACCACGCCGCGCCTCCGCCTCGAACCCTAGCCGAGCAGAGCTAGGAAGGAATGGTACGTGCGCGCCGCCGCCGCCTCCCCCTCCGCCTCCGTCCGCCCGCTAACGTGCAGTTGTTGTGGCTCGCAGGGGAAGGGTACGGGCAGCTTCGGCAAGCGCCGGAACAAGACGCACACGCTCTGCATCCGCTGCGGCCGCCGCAGCTTCCACCTCCAGAAGAGCACCTGCTCCTCATGCGGCTACCCCGCCGCCCGCATCCGCAAGTGTAAGATACGCCTCCCCGCTTCCTCTCTCTCCCTCTCTCTTCGTCCGTTTGCCCCGCTGCTAGATCTAGCCAGTTTTAGTGTTACCTTCTGCTGTTTTGCCCTGTTTGTAATATGTTGCTCCGTGGCATATATCTAGATGGCCAAACAGTGTGATTTGGTATGTTTTATTATGAACTTAAAACTGGATGAGCTTTTGACATATGTGGTAGGTTTCATGCTTTTAGCTTTGTATGCATATCTGTTTATTATTATGCTACCGGCTTATGTGCTTTCTGCTTAATGTGCTGCTGAATTTGTTCCTGCGGGAAATGATGAAGAAAACATTGGTCCGTGTTTCTGATTATACTTGACTGACAACAATGTTTTCCAAGCTGATCCCTGTGCGCCAATTGCTGATTTTGTGGTACTTTAGAACAGTTGATTCATATGAACCATATTATATTATGCTGCTGTTCACGCCTTGTATGTTTGGGCATTGTCCTCATCTAGAAACCTCATTGTATGCACTTTTTTGTAATATGTTCAACCCTGATTTTGTTTACTAACTACTGAATGAAAGCTATGATGAATCATGAAAATTATATTCGCATGTCAGACTTCAGAGATGCCTTGGCATTAATGAGAAGATGTTTCATGTTCTGAGCAGTGAGCATCAGTCTACTAAGTTCTGTTTTTGATGGGTCATTGGTTTCGTATTCAACACAAATATTTCTGCTTACCTCCTTTGTTTGAGTCTTATGGCCCATTTTCTATCAATTGGCACTTGGCTGCTACTTGTATCATTGCTTGAGTTTGCACTACATTTAAACACTTCTGTTGCCTGCTTCCACTGTCGATGATCAAGTGATGAACAATTAACTGCTCCAACGTCATGATTGGAGTTATTCTCCTACGATTTCCAAGTTTTAAGTCTGATGATTCTGTCTTTATATCCTTGTGCGCCATATTCTGAACAGCGTTATACTAAATAAAACAATGATTGTCACTGTTCTCTTTGAAAAATTCAAGCATTTAGTAATCGAGCCTCATAGCACTGATTATCCTATTTCAGTATTGTTATATTCCTTACCAATATACTCCCTCCATCCCAAATTGTAAGTCATTCCAAGAATCTTGGAGAGTCAAACTTTTTCAAGTTTGACTAAAATTATAGAGAGAAACATAAAGATTGATGACATCAAATAGGTATAATATGAAAATATAACTAATGAAGAATCTAATGATACTTACTTGGTATGATAAATATTATTATTTTGTTATATAAATTTGGTCAAATTTGAAAAACTTTGACTCTCCAAGATTCTTGGAATGACTTACAATTTGGGATGGAGGGAGTACATAGCTAGGTTTTTCTTGCCTGTTTCCCTGGTCAGATGATGAGTATTTAGTTGCAACAATATGATGGGATTATTCTCCTATGATTCCCTCGTTTTAAGTCTCTGATGACCCCGCCACATTTTTTTTATTTCCTTTGCATTCTGCCTGTTTGTCTTTTGACTTCGCCTTCTCGGTTCCTTAATATATTTCTGCTTCATTTGTTTCTAAGCAATTGAACTGCATTGATTGGAAATCCTATAAATTGTAAACCTGGTTTTAGGATTATAAGTCGTGTTTCATTCAACTTCAGATGCCTTGCTTCTAACCTGAATGAACTCAATGTTAACATATTGGCCCATGATTTCAGATAACTGGAGTATTAAGGCCATCAGGCGCAAGACAACTGGTACAGGAAGGATGAGGTACATGCGACACGTGCCTTGCCGGTTCAAGAGCAACTTCAGAGAAGGTACCTTTCTTTTGTTGTTGATGATCCCTGCATTTTTTACATGGGAATTATCATCGTTCTTTGTCAAACCTGAGTGGCCTAATTTGAGTGGTTTTGTTAACCTCAACCCAGGGACCGAGGCTGCCCCAAAGAAGAGTGCTGCTGCCAGCAACTAAGTCTGATGTTGCCATCAAGAACCTGAAAAGCTAGAAGTTGGAACTTTTTGTTTGAATTGTACTTCTGAACTATTTAGCCCTAATGCTATGGAAGTACTGGTTTATAGTGCTTTGAATTAAAATCAGACGCCCTGGTGGTTTGATGTATCGTTTTTGGTGAGTATTGTTTATTTGTTACCCCAGTTTGATGCTCATGCAATTATCTTCGCTTGAAAACCGTTGTGCACGTTTGTGCCCTGTACCGCTTTATTAGAGGTGAAAGAGAGCTGCTTCATCTTCCGAGTTACCAAGTTGATAAATAAGTGGGCAATGATTTCTTTGGTGGCATCTATTTATCTTATAGTAATCTGAAAGCACACGCAAATTTGCTAACAGCATTATCCAAATCTTTTTAAAATGATTGTGTCCGGAAACGATGAAAGGTAAATCTTTAGTCACAGGTCACTTCCATGATAAATAAGCACTGACAGCAAGTTTCCTTAAGTTGTTTAAGATGATTGTGTCTGGAAGCGATGAAAGGTACTCCGTTTCAAAGAGTTAGCATTTTTATAGTGTTTTTTCAAAACATTTTCGATTGTATCTCACCATATCACTAAGAGCAATGCATTTGCAAGTGTGACTCACACTAAGTGGCACTTAAGATACCGGTTGGAACTAATCTTGGCTTGCTTTTGCTCCATCGTCACACCATTTGATGAAAGGGGGAAAAAATGAGAGGACTCCTCATGCAAGAGCCTACCAGGCCCCAAACGAGACAAGTAGAGGCCATTTCCTTCTGAAGATGGGAGCCACCCCTTGTTACCTGTCGGCCCAACTTCAACTTGGCCCGCTTAGCGCTTACACCGTTCTCCGTCTCCGTGCGTTGTCTCGCTAGCTTTGGAATCCGAAATCCATTCGTCGCTGCCGCCATCCTCCGTCCGGCACGCAGCCATCGGATCCGCCCACACTGCGCCGCCTTCCGGCTCCTGCTCCTCCCTCGGGCAGGGTGTCTCGCCGGCGCAGTGCCTCGCGGTGTTGCCCGATCACGTCCATCTCGTCTGCTCCTCCCTCACGTTCATATCCCAGCGGCGCATCGCAGCGCCTCGTTGTTCTGCCGGCGCCGTTCGTGTCAGAGCGTCGATGGGGGCTGATTGCATAAGCATAGGGTGCTGATTGCAAGTGTAAAGTGCAGGATTTCTTGCCACATTAGTCCCTGCAGAAGTCAGGATTGTGAGAAGGGGGCTCGGAAAATGGGGTGGGCGCACCCGGCGGTGGCCATGGAGGAGGTGCGAGGTTTCCTGGACGTCCTTGTCCTTACCGGCGTCCGCACCTCGTCCGGCGCCGCTGCTACTTGGACCGCCGACGAGGTCAAGAAGGCCCTCCGGTGGGCGCTCTTCTTCGAGGAGGTTAGCGGTGACCCTGACCCCTCTCGCCTCTGTGCCAATTTCTTATGCTAGACGTTCGCAGATTTTTTTTTTTTGGCGACAAATAGTTTGTAAGCAATGCCGGTTAGCGCGTCCGAGACGTGTCTCCTGAGTTGCTCGATTGTGTGCCTGCATTGTGTCCAGATTTTCAAGGACCTGCGTGACTCGGGCCAGTACGAGGATTCTGCAAGAGAGCTCGATGCGGCACTCCTTGAGCTCACTTCAATAGTTCAAGTGCCGAGTTCCCTAAGGTGCTTGTACAGAGCTTGTATGGTGTATGTGTTGATTCTGGGGGTTTTAGACGCAGTGATGTTCTGTTACATGTGCAGGGTCTTGCTGCTGTACGTTCAGAAATGCTTTCCATGGCAAGGGTGTTGGTTATGCGACATTTCCTGAAGGCAAAAACAATGAGCGTGGAAAACCTTGGTGCTCTTCTTGAAGCGGTTGTTGAGATGGATGATGGATATCGATGGCATTTGTGCTAGTGGTGCGCACAACGCATGCCAATAGTTTGCTGAGTCAATATTGAATATGATGAATCTGTCATGTTTTGCGCAGACCATGAATGCTTGTGATGGTGGACTTCCCACTAGTTCTGATGAACCGCGGGCAGAATCCACGGGCCATTCAAGGATTATAGTTAAAGAATTTCAGAAAAGGCTGGATTCATCATCGTGTGCTTGTTTGGCTGAGAGAGGACTGGAAACACTTTTGAACAGTGTGAAAAGAAACAGCTTGGATGATGGTAGTAATAGGTCATGCGCCCCAGCAATTCCGAAGTAAGCACATTCACCTTCGATACATTGCTTTTGGTTGTCAAAATTCACATTTCTATGTGTTTGCCTTGCGCCACAGCAGTTCCAAAGTAAGCCATGATTCTGAACTCACTCAATGCTATTACAACACAGAGCATCGCAAATGATCGACGAGTTTCTAATGTGGAAGCAATGGAGAGCTAAGTGTTTGCCATATTTGCTTGATGAGCGAACCATTCGGGTTTTGTCTGGAGCTAGTTTGATTTTTAAAGCTCCTAAAGAGCAGTGGATGAAAGTGTTTGAGCCCTTAAAAAGTATAGCAGAATCGTGTCATAATGGTCTTGTCGAAACCATGGTAACTACTCATCTTTTGGCCTTCAACTGTATACACTTCTAGTATATAAACTTTCTACATTGTCACATAAACATGTATGCGTTTTTCTCGTTCGTGTCCTTGTGACACGTTTTTTATTAAGAGGAAATAGAGTTTAACCAGTTACAACCAACCTAGATAATCCGGAGATTACCGAATACATAAAAAAGAGAGAAAAAGCAACGAAGGAGAAAAATCCACAACCCCAAAACCCTACTAGCCATAACTTGCAAGAAGATACATCAACGCAGAAACTGCCTACAGAGTGGATCAGGTCACGATGGCAAAGCATCCACCAAAGAAGACGAAGAACCAGCTAAAAGGGGACCGTGACGCCTAAAAGAGGGGGTGAATTAGGCAACTTAAAAGTCTAACTCTAAACTATGGCATCTAATTCCAACCTTAGCAAAACCTATGTAAAAGATAAACTATCTAAATGTGCAACTACGGTTTTGCTAGTGTGTTGCTATCTCTACCGCAAAAAGGAGTTATGCAAATAATGTAAATGCAGAAGCTAAAAAGTAAGGTAGAGATACGCAAACTCCCGTCGACGACTCCGGTATTTTTACAGAGGTATCGAGAAGCGCTCAACCTTCTCCCTAGTACTCATTAGAGCCCCTCGCAAGAAATCCCTCACAAGGGCTAAGCTCCCGGTCAGGGTAACTCCGTGGATAGCCCTGGTCCTTCCCCACGCACAAGTGGGTCTCCGGTGTGCCTTCCGACAAGCCTCTCCAGGACCGCTCCCCGCCGTCTTCACTATCAAGCTTCCGGCCGAAACGCCGCAGGCCTTGTTCCCTCCGGTACACGGTGGCGGCTACACCACAAACGCGGTTGGTGTGATCTCGCAAGACTACAAGTCCCTCCAATGTACAACAATGGTGCGCGCAAGCACCGAGTGATAAGAGGTATGCAAATCTCACTAAACACTAGGCCTAAACCTAGAGCAAGCGCATAAGCGGTGGTCTAATCAACCTAAGTACTTCCCAAAGGACATACGCTAATCACCTAATGAATCACTAAGCACTATGCAAGTGGAGATCACTAAAATGATGTATCAACACCCTTGGTATGTTTCCTCAGCTCTACTCAACTCAATTGGCCGGTTGGGGGGTCTATTTATAAGCCCTATGGAGAAAGTAGCCGTTGGAGGCGAAACCCAGCTTTCTGCTACTGACCGGACGCGTCCGGTCGTCCCGACTGTTGGAGCGTGCGCGTTGATCGGACGCTGGCTGAGTCCGGTCATCATCAATCGGACATGTCCGGTTGTGCTGGCGCCGCTTTGGAACCTCTCTGGAAACGATCGGACGCTGCACTTCGTGCGTCCGGTCGTCCTGTGCTGCTGCGTCCGGTTATGCTAAAAATATTGCCGTGATGATGAACAATATCACCGATGCATCCGGTCACTGCTTCGCTCAGCGTCCGGTCACTGCTGCTCAGCATCCGATCACAGCTGTCGATGCCTGCTGTTGCCTGGCACTTGATCGGAGCGTCCGGTCACTCATAGGGTCACGTCCGGTCACATCTGCCGAGCTCGTTTCTTCGCGATCTTACATCCGGCTTGGTTCCAATCTTCGTGCTTGGACTTTACTTGACCATGTATGTCTTCTATGCATCGTCACATGTATTTCTTGAGGTGTTGATCATCGGATCATCACATCGCCTTCGTCCAAGTCACATTTTGCATCATATTGAACTATAAAACAATTGTTTGCAAATCTATTAGTCTAACTTTGTTGTGTTGGTCATCAAACACCAAAATCCAAAGTAAATGGGCCTAGGGTCCATTTTTCTTACACCAGCAACAACAGCGGCGAAGCATCCGCCCAAGAAGATCAGAGCAACCTTGACGGCAAAGCATCCGCAATGTGAGAGGCCCACACCAACTCGGCAGCAAAGCATCTGCCAGAGAGGGAACCCAGGACAGCGACGGCGACAAAGTATCCGCCAGGTGAACCAGCAGCTACAGAGTGACTTTGGCGGCAAAGCATCCGCATGGTGATAGCGCACATGCAGTAACAAATTCTACCAGAGAGGGGACCAATGACCAACGACGACAAAGTATTCGCCAGAAATGAAGCGACTGTGACTAGGCCAAGCATTCTAGTAGGACAAACCTCTGCGAAGAACATGAACAAAGCACACCCTAGCATAGCAAGGGGCAGATCCAGCGAGAGGGACAGCGGAGATAGGTGCAAAGTAACGATAGCTTCAAGAAGGGGAATGACATCCGCGGATGCCACCACCGTTGGAAAAAGGGCGCAGTCGACGAGCGAGCGGACAGCCTAATGGAATTTTGACGACGCCTCAGGGGTAGATGACGCAAGCTGCGACACCGTTGCCGCCCCAGACCAGAGGCCGGGCAGGGCTTTCGCCCAGATTCCAATCGACCATGAACGCGAACCCCTCCCTTGCAGCTCCGAGGACACGGCAGCGGCGACGTGGATGGCTGCAGGCCGAGTGGCTGGCGACCTCGGCCAGGCCCACCCCGGCGGATGCCTGCAGCCTCCACGATCCATGTGCACCGGCAGCAGTGTAGCACGCGGCTGGGCGGCCTTCGCACCAGCTGCAGTGCCTGGACCTGCGCTCGCGCTGGAGGCTCAACGACGGGCAGGCGGCCTCACATGACCCCAGGCCCGTGCACCGCGGTGACGCTGTGGCCCGCACGACCTTGCAAACGGCGTCAGGCGGAGGCCCGCGCGACAGACCCTCGCGTCCTCCGCGTGCTACGCAGCAGGCGGCAGCGGCCCTGCAAGGCTATCGTGCGCTGTGGTGTCCTTTGTGCTGAGGCCCACGCGTCTATGTACGCAGCCGAGCTAGATCCACGTACGTAGCAGACAGCGACAGGCGCAGCCCCACACATCATCTCGTGATGTAGATCCGCACCACCTCCGCGCGCCTCGCACCTTCCGGCCGGTGGCCCCGCAGCCTGCGCCTTCAGCAGCCACGACTCCACCTTCACAGATCCAGTGTCCCCGCGCACGGATCCAGCCCGTAGGAGCACGGATCTGGTTGAAATGTGCCCGGATCGAGAGATTTAGGGTTGAGAGATGGTGCAGAGGAGAGAGAGCGGAGGGAAGGACGAGGAAGAAAGCCTTTTTGAGCTCCTTCCCTTGGCCGCCGCTGCCACCGACGAGGAGGCGAGGTGCTGCGGTGGTGGCGGCGGCCGAGCCGACGAGAGGAGGCGAGGCGCTAGGCTGGCCGAGCGAGCGCCCTCGAGTCGCCTCAACGGGAGACGACGTGACTGTTTTTGCTCAAGCCTCCACGAGGTAAACATGCATGCGTTATCTTCGTAGGAGCTATGCTTGCTGGGTTCGATTACAAGGCGATGGGAGACACTGATAGAGGGCTTCATATCGCACACTTTCTGTTTCATTCCTATATCCAAGAAGTACGCTGATCTGCACCAGTGCCTTCATGGAACTTCTCAGGACAAATTCCAAGACGAACATCTTAGTTTGGAGGTTTTTCCTATTTTGGACTTATATCATGTTATTAATAGTTTGCCAAATATTCTGTGTGTTGGAAACTTTAATTCAGTGAGAAAATTTTGAAATATGGGGATTGCACCGTGCTCAACCAAGTAGGTATCTGTGCATGAATAAATTCAGGAAGGTTCACCTAAATACTGAACACTGTTATGTGCCTTGTGCGAACTATCAAGGGTGCTTCTGTGAATCCTCAATGTCCTTCTGTTACTAAAATCTGTGGAGGGCCTATGATCAAACTCCTCTGCCAGAACCTGTAATGAGTTGTATACCAAATCGGGTCTTCGGTGCACCTACTAGAACTGTGCTTACACCTAAAACAGAACCATATTTTTACGAAAGCTGCTAATGCTCAGTCCTTAGTCTACATTCAACAATGGTAAATAACATTATCGAAACCAATGACTTGTCATACTACCCTTGGTCTAGTTTGATGTACAAGTGATGCTCGATTGATTTAAACAATACTTGAGTCAGCGAACTAGTTCATAACCTTTATATGCTAATATTTACTTTCTGAAACCATGTTCTTTGTCTTCATTTCGATTAGGATATGCCCTTTTAGTTCATTTCGCAATACTATATCTAATCAACAACTTGGACCCTTCAACTGACCCATGAATCCTGGTCAGGTTTTGGAACACTTACTGATAAGAAAATTTGACACACTATGTTGGGCCATCTGATATGTTTTAATCTACAAAAAATTCTTTGGAACTGAGTAATAATAGTTTTATTATTTATAATTAGCATGCCTTTCAGAGATCTCTCAGGAAATAAAATGCATAATGGGCCTGTCACAACTCACAATAACAATTGTTAGCAAGAGGGCATATATTTTTAATCTTGGTATCTACAATGTTTTGTTTTCTCAGACCTCCTGAAATAATTTAGCTTCATCCAAAGCTTTGAACTACAGGAAAAGGATATTCTTGACTACGCAAGACAATCATTAGAGAGTAAACCATCCTTACTATGGCTTGTACCTCCAGTTCTTACCGCTGCAGCAATTCCACCACGGTGAGCTGACCTTTTATTACCTTATGGGATGGCTTTTTTAAAAAAAATTGTGATCATCAATGGCAATTCAATGTTTGTAACTGATCGTATAGGTCAAGCTTGTTCCAGATATACCTTGCTCAAATAGATAAGCAATTTCATGAAGCTACTCCTGCAGACCGGTATGCTATTAAAAAAATAGTTAATATATATGAGATAAGTCAGATTTCAAATTCCTGTGTTAGTCATTATTAGTATGTGTTAATGCTTACTGTTTTTCAGAAAGTGTAAATGCAGAGGAGATGAAACAGATCAGCACCGTAACGTACTGTAAGTTATTCATAATTGGAGCTGCTCCCTTTCTCAGATTTCAAATGAAGCGCTCAAAATTCTTGAGCTAAAGCTTGTTTTTCTTCGTTCCAGGTGAGATTACTGAAAGGATTCAATATTCAGCACGACCTGCACCTGCAGGGAGCTGAGGCAGTGGTACAGCTAGGACCGACCATGTAGCAGCTCCCTGATCCCTGGGGTGGCGGCGGGAAACACGCGGCCACGCCGTACGTAGCCGCCTTCGATTCTCGATGCCGGCCGCATGCAATGCCTCCTCCGTTGGCTCCGCCGCGAGCGTCGGTATCGGTACGGTACGGTGCCGGTCCGCACTCCGCAACTCCAGGTAGGTTCCACTTCCACTTCCACGATCTGGGATTCTGGGTGGACCCACAGCGAGTCCGTGCACGGCAAATGGTCTCATATCCTAGTGCCAGTCGCACATGCATATACATATACTACTGCTCCTCTCATCGGGCGCGTACACTTGTACTGTATACTAGTAGCTAGTACTACTAGTACAGTGATAGCTACTATATATATATATATATATATATATATATATATATATATATATATATATATATATATATATATATATATATATATATATATATATACCGTACGTACGTATCGGTTCGGTTCAAAAGCGTGCATGGATGGAGCGACATATACGGTAGTACTAGCTGTCAACGATCCGGGTGGTGGGGTGCATGGAGAGCCATTGACAGGTCTAGTGGACCGACGGCACCGAGACGCCGTGCACGTCAAATCATATCCCCGCAAAATTAAACAAACAATCCTAGGGCTTAGCTTGTTTATTTGGATTACAATTAACTCAAGAGAAAAACGTAACGGTGCGCTGCCTCCTTTTTTTTTTCTTACCCATCCCGTCGTTGATCCATCCGATCGTTCAAAAAGAACCGGCCGTGCGGGGGGCGCACTGACTGGTGTATACTGTCTCCTCCCGCACCCGCAGTCCCGCCCGCGTTCCACGCCAGACGTACGTACGCGTAGGTCTGCTCGGCCCCGGCCCCGGCCCCCAAAACTCCAGCTTCCAAAAGTTACAGACGTGCAGTGCACCGACCGACCGACCGACGACGAATTGCACGCTCACGCTGGCACCTTCATCATTTTTTGATTCGTCGTCATATCCATGCATGCACGCCTAGCTAGCTTCACATAAATAATTACTGTGTTAGTACAATATTCTGCGCCTGGCTCGGCCCACACCTTCCAAGCAACCTAATAATAACTGTGAGGTGCTCCAGTAATATTAAGATATATAATCAAACATTATCATCGGATGCGATCCGATAGTGTCTCCCATATGCACCTTGATGATGATTGATGATAAAAGTACAAGGACCTAGCGTGGCGTTCACTCCACACCTGTTTTATGCTGCCCCTGACCCCTGTCCTCTGCATTGCTTCGGGCTCCCAATCCCAGCCTAAACGTAAACGAGACCACGAAATCGTTTGCTACGATCGGATTACGTACCTCTTGTAAAATATCTGTTCCTCATCCTCTTACTACTGTCGGTAGTATAATACTAAAAAAAGTAAGTGCTCATGTACTACCGGTGTATTCACCTTGCACATTGTGCATGTTAACTGGTACTCCCTCCGTTTCAAATTATAATTCGTTTGACTTTTTTTATCCTAAGTTTGACTGCTCGTCTTATTAAAAAAATTTGTGCAAACATAGTTAAATTTAAGTCATTCTTGAAGAACTTTTGTTCGAGTATCGATAGTAGGGATACCCAAAGCAAGGAAGTTAGCGCCCACACTGACTTCTCCGAATGGCTCGAGACGCATCAAAAGGTCTCGCCCGATCCCAAGGCCGCGGAGGTCCGTCTCGCCCGACCCCAAGGCTGCGGGCTCCGTCTCGTCCGACCCCTTGCGTGCGGGCTCCGTCTCACCCGACCCTTTGGGTGCGGGCTCCGTCTCGCCCAACGTCGAGGACGCGGTTTCCGTCTCGTCCGACGGGGAGCCATACCGCCGCCAACCACTCCAGGTCCAACCGTATGGGCCTGGGTCAAAACTCTGACACCAGGGAAGAGACTAGCACGCAACAATGTAACCCGTGGCCATGACGGGCCGGGGATTCACATCAAGAACAGTGTCGGGCGTGCCGGTGCTGTTCTGCCTAACCCTCATACGGACACTGTCAGGCGCGTCAATTCACCACGACGTCCGCCGGGACGGACTGGAACGCCATGACCGGCAGATGACGCCTACGCATGGCGCCAGTGACGAACAGGGCCGCGACGTGGAGCCATCCCTGTTGACATTTACAGGATCGGCGGGACCCGCATGAAGGAGAAGAAGGACCCGACGATCCTGGAGGCCTTCTTCTCTCTCGTTCTTCTCATTTTCCTCCACTGTAACCCGCGCTTTTCCTTCGCCTATAAAAGGGAAAGCAGGGCGCCCCACGAGGGGCAAAACGAATCGGAAGACAAGCGCACGACATGAGCACACGACTGAGCGGCAAGCGAGCTCTCAACACCCGTTCATCCCCTCCACTAGAAACTTGGGACCCTCTCCCTCTCTCGTCTATTTGTAACCCCTACTGCAAACCAAGTGCTAGTAACACGAGCAGCAGCGAACTAGACGTAGGGACGTTCCACCCGAACCAGTATAAATCCTTGTGTCCTCCGAGCACACCATCCGAGACAGACGCGCAAATACAAATTTACTCGTCGGTGGTACGAAAACACCAACAAAAAGCCACAACAAAATAAGTGATATTTAGCATAATTTTTTGAACAAGACGAGCGGTCAAATTTAGGGTCAAAAAAGTCAAACCAACTATAATTTAGAACGGATTTAGTATTTTTAATAAAAAAATAGCAGCTGCGACTGCTCTGTGTTCCTGCTGCATTGGAGTTGTAAGCATCCATTTGCTCAAGCAGCCGCGCCGTCGTGTTGACCGTGCCAAATACTAATTAATAAACGCGGGCCTCCAGCACAGTAAGGCAATGCCAAACAGATCGCGTGCGTCTCGAACCGTACTCGACTAGCAGCGTCAACCATTCCCGGCGGCCGTACATGAAATAGGAGCGGTGGGAAATGTGCATGTGATTTAAAAAAAAAAGATGTGCACATGTGGCGTGTCTGCCATATATAGTAGCTCCTTCTCCTAGTAATTAATCTATTGTGACATATAAATAAACCTATATAAATAAATTATGTCATTCTCGAGTAATTCTCTGAGGTACCTTTTATAAACAAAGTGATTTTATGCTTAGTTTTATCATCCCAATCCCGTTATCTCATTTGAGACAATCACTCCAACTTAAAAAAAAACAGAGTTTTTCTTTGCCATATGGGTCCTTTTGGTTTTCAAGAAAAAAACAGCATGCTTTTTGTGCAGGTGGACCTTTGGAAACACGAAACCAAATGATTTAGTTGAGGTAGACCAGGTAAACTAAGAACAAACATGAGCAAATTAAGGAGGAGCCAGATTGGAGGGAGAGGTCTAAAACCCTTGATCTTGCCTTTGGATGGGTGGTTCCCACCATCAAGATATCATGTGTGTTTGTGATTTAGGTAAGAAATACAAAACTTGTCCCAGCTATTTGGATGAGGTTGTACGAGCTCTCCAATAGGTAAGACCAATCAAAACGTGAGTAGAGACCTTATTAAGTGGTCTATTGTATGGTTGGATGCCATGCATGGAGAATGGTGGGAGATGCCCTCCCCCTCTGCGGTGTCAGATTCAACACTTTCCTCCTTCCCTCTCTGTCTCTCTAGTTTCACAAGCATTAGGATGTACAGTGTCTATCATATCCCAAATAGAACCCGGCTAGATCTATGATCCTAGTGTTCAACAGTTCTAACAATGGTACCAGAGCCACGTTTAAGTATAGATCTAGCTTATCAGTTAAGATCCTTTCGGATCTGAGAAAAGAAGGGGTCTCCGAAGAAAGCCGAACCCTAACCCTAACTGGGTTAAAGAAAGGAGGGTTTCGGTTGAACCCTAACCCTAACTGGGGATTAAAAGAAGAGGGTTTCGGCCTTAAGAATGTAAGAGCCGAACCCTAAACCCGTAAAAGTCTTCAACGGGGAAGAAAAACAGTAAAACCATAACCCTAACTTCGATCCCTAATCCCCAAATCGGTTGAATCCGAACAAACGAAGCAAATCCGAAGGGGGAAGAAGGGGAAAGGGGTGGCCTACCTCGCCGATGCGCAGCACTGCTGTTACGCCGGCGCGCGGGGAAAAGAAGACCGAGCCAGGGGCGCAGCTCGCCGGGCTCAGGCCAAAGAGACGCCGCGGCCAGGTCGCTCGACGGCGGCGCGCTCACCCGCTGGGGAGCGCGCACGCCGGTGAGGGGGCCGGCGACGGCGCCAGCGCTCCACCGATTCGCCGCTTGAGTCACTCGGTGGCTGCTGTTGCTTCGCTGAGGAAAGAAAGAAGAGAGAGCGGCGAAGAGAGAGACGGCAAAGAGCAGAATGAACGCTAGGGTTTCAAGGCGCCGCTGCGGTCGGCGTTTTGATCCTGCAATGCGCGCGGACGGTCGAGATTGATCGGGCCATTTCGTGGCCCAGGCGGGCACGCGCGGCAGCGCGGCTTTGGCGGCCCAGGCCTAGGTTGCGGCCTGGGTGCGGCCGGGCGTCGCGCAGAGGTGGTGGGCCGGGCTATTTTGCCGGCCGGGCCAAATGATCAGTACTGTTTAAGTCATTTTTGTTTTTTTCCTTTTCCAGTAAAATTTTTTATTTCCTAGAAAATGGAAATTGGCTCAAAAGAAAATAGAAAAAGAGGATTTTCCTGTGGGTAAAATTCAAGAAAATGAGTTCATTTTTTCGCTGCGTATTTAAAGACGTTATTTTCATTATTAAATTCGAACCAACGGGAGAATTTAATTTTGAAAAATGGATATGTTTTAATTGATCATAATATTATTATTATTCTGACCAACGTTGATTAATGGCAATATTATGATGTTTTGTCTTGCATCAATTCTATTTCTGCCCAAGTAGAATTAATGTAGAGAACAATTGTATGTTTTAATTTTGACCAACGTTGAAACTAAGGCATGCAATTGTTATTGTTATTATTTATGTTCTCACACTATTTGAATTATGTTTTCAGGCG